GATGTTTCAGTTTTTCACAAAGCCTGCAGGGAGGCTGAGAGACGCTCGGACCAAGTCTGAAGGAAAGACACGAGAAAACTAACTGGCAAAGGGAACAGAAGTTACAGAATGATAAACAAACAGGGAAATGTGGCTACAAAAGGAAAACAGGGAGAAACACAGTGAACTAATAAACTGTGCGACTGACCGTGACGGGCTCAGACTCTCTTACCGTGCGCTTTTTAGTCAGTTTGTTTTAGGAATTGATAAACAAGTGACACTTCATATGAGTTCACAGACGTCTCAACAGTTTTCCACCCCGATGAAAAAGGGTGGAAGGTGTCAGGCTGGGTGAGTGGCTGTGTTTTTTCACTCGCCTTTGGGCTCTCATCAACACACTGGGGGGCTCACCTAACAGCAGTCCAGCGATCAGCAGCCAGTGTTGAAGGCCAGCAGCTTATCTACCTTCCAACAGTTTGACCAGTTAGAACCAGTTAGCTCACTCTGGTTCTCGCATTCTTTGTTTTTTATGTCGCGTCTTGTTTCTGCCTGTGCCTCTAGTGTTGCTACGGAAACATTTCCGGTCTGAACAGTGGTCTCTCTGGATATTTGGATCCTGGACACATGCTCAGCCTCACTCTGCTCACCTGCCTGCCCTCCCACCTCCCTCGTCCTACCCTAAGTCTAGGCGGGGTATTAAAATGTATCTTAGGTGTTAAGAGATTAAACTCGAGCTTGAGCTCATTGAACAGATACAAAGAAAACAAATTCTAGAAACCAAGAATGTAAATGTGAGCAGTCGGACGAGAAAGATCTGGCACACACATGCCCCGATCTCCAAGAGGCTTTGGCAACATGCTGACTGTGCAGCTTGCTTTAATGCACAATAATGAATATGAAGCAAGGCATTGCTAAATGTTCACTTTATCTTCTTATTTATGTATTTATTACTTCAGTGATTTATTAAAGCCCGGATGCTGCACAGCTCTGTTGTTCCTGATCACTGACAGATGCAAACTCACACAACCAGCAGATTGGGCTTCTTTCCTTGCCAGAGATGTTTGATCAGATTTGGACTCCGTTTGTTTCTTTTGTTTATCTCTGCGTGTGCCAGACTACCTGTTATCTTCATCATCCTCACATGCCAAAATCAGTGGGTGTTCCACAACATCTTTGTCTGTGTTTCTCCTGCAAAATGTCGATGCGAGGTCCTGACACAACCTCTCCTCCTCCATAATTTCCAAAGGCCTTCATTGTGTGTAACACAATGGCCTTCTTTGGTGTGCTTCTCACTGCCTAAACCTCAGGGAAGCCCCCCTCTGCAGAGAACATGGGACATTATTGAGTGTGTGCCAGTTCTCTTAGACGAGCTCAGAGAAGTGCTTCATAATTGGATTGTTACTCAGTATTAAAGAGGATTTCATGAAGCTCGGAGGATAGAAAGAGGACCGATTCAAAGGCTGGTGCCACATACTCACTGTCCCCTCTCTGCTCTTACATCCTGTTCAGATGACCTTTTATTTCTGCTACAGGAAATAACCCAACGGGTTTTAATTGAAGACACATTGCCGCTCTTTACACTTGAGCAGTCGTGAGTCCTATTTCCGTTTACACTTTATTTTGAGCACGAATGTGTTTGCAATATGTTGCATGCTTTAACTTTTCTGTCTTCTACTAATAACTTAAAGCTTAACTTGAAAGATCTGTCGCATGGCAGGGATCTACATTTGTTTTTGGAAGAAGACGCAGCCATACTATTGTGTGCAAATCACAAATCCACCGCTCGCCAATCATCCCGTCGTTTATTCTCTCGTCTTCTAATCATGAGCAGAACAAAGCCAGAGATGGACAGTTTTTATTTCGGTTTTTAATTTGTGTCCCAAACGTGAAAATTCAAAAAAATAAAACATGGATGGATCTGCAACCTGATGATTCAATCTGGTTTTTAAATGTTTGTTTGAGCACAGGGTGAAGATCCATCTGCTTGGGTTGGACTACATTATCAAACACATCTGATGTCCCTGCTGCTAAAGCATTTGGACTGATTCAGTCATCACAAAGGGTTTTGCTTTATACCTTTTAACTTGAGGGGCGTGCTCAGGGTATGGTGTTATTCTAGGACTAAAGATTAGGGATGCACCGATACCGATACTGGGCCAGTATCGGGGCCGATACTGTAAAATGTGTGTGTACTCATACTCGTAAAAGTTAACCGATACCATGAACCGATACCAACTTATTTCATTAATCAGAGGGTGGCTTGTCATTTCTGTTGTAGTTTTTTAGATTGGCCACTAGGGGGCC